TGACTCGATGGCAATGTTTTTTTGGTGTTTGTAGACACAGAGCTGAGTGTGTCAGATGCAAGTGAGAGTCGCCAAGAACCAAGGAACGCCCTGGGCTACTGACAAGGAAAGAATCAACACAGCCCCGACTCTGTGTTATGGATTGAATTGTGTCCCCCAAAATTATGTGTTGTAAAGCCTAATCTCTATGCCTATGGTAAAATCCCCTTTGGGAATGGGTTGTCTTTGTTATGTTAATGAGACAAGATTACTGTAGGGTGTGTCTTGAGTCAATCTCTTTTAAGATTTAAAAGAGATTAAAACGAGCAAGCAAGGAAACAGAGATGGGGTAAGAGAGCTGTAACGCCACATGAAGATCTCTAAGGAACCAGGAAGCAGAAGCTAAAGAGACAAGGACCTTCCCCTAGAGCTGACAGAGTCCTGAATTCTGACTTCTAGCCTCCTAAACTGTGAGAAAATAAATTTGTTTGTCAAGGCCACCCAAACCAAAAAAAACCCGTTGCCGATTCCAACTCATAGCGATCCTATAGGACAGGGTCGAACTGCCCCATAGGGTTGCTGAGGAGGGGCTGGTGGATTCAAACTGCAGACCTCTGGTTAGCAGCCGAGCTCTTAACCACTGCACCACCAGGGCTCTGTTAAAGCCACCCGCTTGCGGTAATTCTGTTATAGCAGTACGAGGTAACTAAGGCACCCTGATTTGAACTTTTAGCCTCCAAAACTATGAGAAAATAAATTCTTGTTTTTTAAAGCCACCCACTTGTGGTATTTCTGTTACAGCAGCACTAGGAGACAAAGACAGCCTGGGTGCCCAGCCTGGCACGGTGGTCCCTGTGTATTAGATCGGCCGGCTGGTAAGCCTGCAGCTGCCTGATGGGCAGATCGTTAGGTGGGGTCAGTGGCGTCTGCTGCCCTCCTTTGGATTCTGCCTTATTGAAATGCTTACACGTTCATTTGTGCCTCTAAACTTATTTCGTCTTGAGAAATGGCATGGAACCTTGTGCCCCAGCCAAGCAAACCCCATACATCAGATGTTCAAGCTGAGCGATCCTTATGTTTGGGCAACAATAATGGTGCTTTGTCATCCCTGTGCTTCTTGTCAGCACAGCTCAGAAACTCATCTGCAGCCCAGAAATTACAGTGAATTTAACGCACATAAATACACCGAGCTCATTACAGCGACTGGCGTCCTGCGTGACAAGGCCAAAACCCATTCTTCAGTGGCTCAGTGAAGACGGTGGTCGGCCCCGTTCCAGGTGAAGAGGTGCTTTCTTTGAAGTTTTGCTACATGGGTTATTGCAAGCATATTGCAATATTTTCCCATATCGGGGTTAGGAGGGCGGTGCTCTCTGGGGTTGTTAGTTCTTACCGAGCAAGACATTGCCATCCGTCCAATTCATAATCCCCAGAAGTTTTGAGATTGAACCGGGAGTTCATAATCCCCTGGGAGGGGCTGGGCCTCACACTTCAAGGCCTTTACATGGTGATTTTCTTTTAGGCTATAAATAGCTCGCTTCTTTTGAGTTATGACTCTGTAGCTCATTCCAGTAAGGAGCTCCCAGTAAGGAGCTCATTCCAGTAAGTCAACTGATAGGTTGACCGTTGGAACACACCCAGTGGCTCTGAGGGAGAAAGACCTGGGGATCTGCTTCCATGAAGACTCTAGCTTAGAACACCCTACGGGGAGTTCTACTCTGTCACATGGGGTTTCTATGAATCGGAATAGACTCAATGGCACCCAACAACAACAAGCTCATTCTAGGAGACCCTGGGTGTTGCAAATGGTGAAGCAGTGGAGTACTAACCAGAAGGTTGGCAGTTCAGACCCACGCAGGGGCAGCTCTTGAAGTAAGACCTGGCAATCTGCTTCCGAAAGGTCACAGACATTGAAAACTCTATGGAGCGTAGTTCTACTCTGCACACACGGGGATGCCATGTGTTGGAATCAACCCGATGGCAGCTAACAATAAGAAGAAGTGCATTCCCATCACCTTGTCTTTGGATGTCAGAAAAGATGGCCCAGTGGCACCCTCCACCTCCCCGCTTCCCCGCCAGCTGTTGATCTGATGCTGCTCTGTTCTTGTTGTGATCTTATTGGGTCTTATTTGAAGTCTACTGAGCCGTGACCGCTTCCCATGAAGCAAAACTGTCTTTATTTTTAGAAGAACTGCTCTGTTAAGAAGACCTTCATGGCTGATGAATTTAATTCCAATAAATTATAACTTCTGCAAAGCACCTACCCCTCTGAGCGCAGATGGAAGTTGGAAATTCATCGAAAGCTCTCATTTCCCCGGAGGAGGCCTGGAAGACCTTATTTAACAGAGATTTCTGTGCGTTCTGACTAGGAACACACGGTGGCTAACAATCCCTGATTTCCAGGCTCGGGGCTTTTCCCTTCCCCAGCTGGGAGCGGGCTGTGGAGTGAGAACTGAGGCCGGATGTGTGTTTCAGAGTCAACTTGGTTTTCCTGGAAGCTCTGAAGCCCACTCTGTTTCTTTGAGTAAGATCCATTGTAACTACAAGTGGCGGTGTCTTGAAAAGGGCTGATTAAGTGTCCAAAATTAAGGCAGCTGCCCTGCCATTTTCAAGTCCTCCTTCTGATGGCGGGTCTGCGGAAGCACAGCACTTTTGTTGGGGTTCTCTTTGATCCTGCTGAAATCTCTCCACTGCTCTTTTGCTCTGTCTGAAAAGCAGGAAGTGTGTATGTGGTGTACAAAGTCCCCATAGGTGGCAAAGAGTCTCTGCTGTGTTAAAATGACACATTTAGAAAAATGTCGGAAAATAGAGTCTTCACCATTTCCTGAGTCCCTGCAGCGCAGCCCCCACCGTCCTTTTCATCCTTGGCCAGACCACCCGCAGGCAGCATCCCTCCAAGAGTGTCCTGCACCCCAGTCTTCTCAGGGGGTAGGTCATGATCCCCCTTTCTGCCCCAGTCCCCCTTGTGGACTAAGAAGCCAATAAGCTTTTGTGTTTTCAGATCAATGCTTTCCTTACAATAACCTTGCTCTATAAACCAGGCCTCCTTTTAAAGGTGTATTTTCTGAACAATGTCGAAAGAAAAAAAAAGTTGCCAAAAATCCTTTCTGGAAAGAGCCTGGGTATAAATAAAGAAAGAAATGGAACCCTACAAAGAAAAAGATTTAAAAAAGAAGGAAAGAAAATCAAAGACGGAAACGGTGCGTTTGGGCCAAGGTCTAATGGCAGACACTTGGTGAAATGTTTTAAAATGGCCAGGTTTTGGCTTCTAATTCTTTTTGCTCCCTTTATTTATGCTCCTGTAATTCCAAATCAAGAGAGTCTTTAAAAAATCTTGGCTGATCTTTGCTGGAGCGATGGAAAGGGAGTAGGTTTTGGAAACATGCGTTTGTTCATTTGTTCAACAGACACGAAATCCAAACCAAACCTAGTCTGTTGCCATTGAGTTGATTCCAACTCATGGTGACCCTAGTGTGACAGAGTAGAACTGTGCTTCGTAGGGTTTTGTTGGCTATAATCTTTATGGAAGCAGATCACCAGGACTTTCTTCCAAGGTGCTGCTGCTGGGTGGGATTGAACTGCCAACTTTTTGGTTAGTAGCACAGACTTCACCTAGAGCTCGTCTCCTTTAGCTTTGTAATCTCTCTTCTAGGTGTATTTACCCGCATTTTCCAGATGGAAACTGAGGCTTGCCCCAAATCACTCAGCTTATTCATGGCAGAGCTGCATCTGAAACCACCATCCTGATTCCAGAGTTCTCAGCCCACTGTTGTGCTGCCTCCCCACGTGTTCTTCAGGACCCACTGTGTGCCAGGAGCTGAGTTAGCGTTGGTGCGGGGAGACAGTCCAGAAAAAGCTGGTTGCAGGGATGTGTGACTCGAGGTAGGAGGGAGCACTCAGGAGGGCTTCCTGGAGGAGGTGGCCAGTAAGCTGAGGCTCGACTGCGGGTGGTACTTGCTGGGCACAGCAAGGGGCAAGACCAGGTAGAACTAGATTTGGTCCTGACTCTGGGGCTCACTGGTGGTGTGAACCCGGTGGCTTCATATCTAATGGGTCAGGGCCCAGCCTCTCCCCCACAGACTCGTTAGGAGAGTAAATGAGTGAACTACATAGAAAGTGCCTTCACATAGTAGGTGCTCAGGAAATGTTAGTGGTCTTCTGCCCCCTTCCCGTGGACAATCAGGAGTATAGGCCAGGTGGTACAAAACGAACAAAAGGTTAAGCACTCGGCTGCTACCCTAATCCACCCAAAGGCACCTCGAGAGAAAGACCTGGAGATCTGCTTCTGAAAAATCAGCCACTGAAGACCCTGTGGAGCACAGTTCTACTCTGACACACATGGGGTCGCCATGAGTCGGAATCACCTTGATTGCAGGTGGTACTGGTTCCCTGCAGCCAGAGGTTGCAAACTGCTGGCCCCTGGATGACCCACAGAATTTGAATTATTTGCCCACATTTATTAATTGGGAGATTCCACACACACTCCACATTTCCAGCTTTTCTTAAAACACAAAAACAAAAACAAAAGGTCCTCCTCCTCCAGGAAGCCCTCCTGGGTGCTCTCTCATATTTCAGGCTCCTCCCCCTTGCCCAGCTCTTTCCTAGACCCCCACCTTGGCTGAGCTGAGGAGTGGCCATCCCTAAAGAGACAAAGCTGTAGCAAAGGGACACACCTTACGTTTCTCTTCTAACTTGGCCTCCTCTCTCCCACTCACCCTCCTGCTATTTTTCCAGCCCTGTCTCTACTTTGTGGCGCCAGAAGGTGACCTGTTTGGCCCAGTGGCAACTTGTAGGCATCAGTTCCCAAGTGGTTGACATGAGGTTCCATTCTGGGTTTAGCGTGGGCTGAGGCGCTCTTCTGAAATCGGCAGCAGGCACTCAGGAAAACCAGGGGCCACGTTTCCCATAATCACCGGTCTCATGAAATCGGCCCCCAGGCAAAACGCCACCCGTGAGGTTTGCCAGCCCTGCCAGCCAGCATATCAGTCTCCGTTCTCTGTGACTCAGCACAGCCGGCATTTCGCATCTTTGAAGTGTTTGTCTGCTGGCAAATGGACCAGTACTTTAAAACCCCAAACATTCCTGGGATTAGCTGAAGCCGCTAAGCTGGCAGCGTGAGCGCGGGAGGAAGCCCGGGTTCAAGAGGCGTCCTCCTTCCAGAATTCGGACTGATCCTGTGAAGACCATAATCAGATCTGGACGAAAGGCTCCTCGGTGAAGAGGATCCAGGCTTCAGAAACAGCAAGCCCAGTGGGGCGTCTCTCTAACCCTCTCCGTCCAGCATCACAATCATGTGGCCACCAGGTTGGTCCTCAGGTGATACCCTCCAACCTGGCTTCCCATGCTCTGTACAGACCCCAAACGCACTTTTCCAGACTCTTGCCGCCCCCTCCAGGCAGCCTTTCCTGGTGCTCCCAGGGATGCGGGCCCCCGCCCCTCTGTCCCCCGCAGCCCTTGGTGGTACCTCTCTTGGAGCTGTATCACAGCAGTTTTCATCCTTCTGTTTGCAAAGTGCATGCTCTGAGCCCGGTGCTGAGCACTCACCATCTCATTTAAACTCTGGGAGGGAGTGATTGCTGTCATCCCACATTGCAGACGGGCACACTGAGGCTCAGCCCGGTGAACCTCTCAGGCACAGGTCTGGGCTCTTAACAGTGTGCTGTGTGGTCAACTGGGCTGCACCCTCCTCCCCCCTCCCCCTTTCCTCCTCCTTCTCCCCCTCCTCTCTCTCCTCCCCTCTTCCCTCTCCCCTCCCCCTTCTCCTTCTTCCCCTCCTCCTTCTCCCTCCCCTTCTCCTTCTTCTCCCTCCCCTCCCCCTTCTCCCTCCCCCAGTCCCCCTCCCCACTCCTTGTCTCTGTCTTTGCTTCCCGCAGTTTCATACATAACAACCCCTTCGGAATGTGTTGTCGACTGGGGAGCCCGGCCTACTTTAGTGAGCGCCTTTCTATTTATTCAGGTTGTGCAATCCCAGCCCTGTTTAGTATTGTCTTTGATGTTCAAGGATGGTGTGGAAATTTCTCTTGTTTTTATGTGACCCAGTTTCCATCCTTTGAAAGCATTGTTCGCCTCTCCTTCCCATTGAGTCTCTAAAGTCAAGGCCGTAGGTAGCATCTCCCAATCTCCCCAGCCTCCTTTCCGCCCCCCACCAGGGCCTGGCATCTGTCTGGCGTCTAGGTGAGTGGCTGGCGTCTAGGTAAGTGCCTAGTGTGTGAAGCACTCTTCATCTTCCTGGCAGGTGTTCTGGGTTCATTGTCAAAACATACCTGCCTGGCTCACCTGAGCCATGAAACCAACTGCACCACCCTTTGTGTGTATGAACGTGGTCTTTTGTTCTTCCTTGGATTGATTTAGTCAACACAACCATCTCGATGGCCTTGACCTGAGGGAAGCACCAGGCCTCCCCTGTCCTCTTACGGGATGTTAGCCAGGCAAATGGGACTTGGGAGTCCACCACTTTCCCAAGACACCTTTTTCACCAAGGCTATTATATACATGGAGCCCCTGGGTGATGCAATTGGCTAAGCACTCGGCTGCTAACCGGAAGGTTGGTAGTTCAAACCCACCCAGAGACTGCTTGAAAGAAAGCGCTGGCTATCTACTTCTGAAAAATCAGCCATTGAAAACTCTATGGAGCACACTTCTACTCTGACACACGTGGGGTCACCATACATCAGAACTGACTTGATGGCAACTGGGTTTTTTGTTGTTGTTGTATACATGAAGATTTTGGTAAAAATCACCTTTTCCTCCTTCCTTTTTCTGCCTTCTAAGGTTCTTGGTTGTTTAAAATACTCTTAGAGGCTAGTTATTTAGTCATAGCTGAAATTTGGCCTCTGATTTCTAAACTGGCCTGAGTGGCCCATGGGGACTCTTTGGAATGTTTTAGGGAGGTGGGATAGAGGAGTTTCAAAAACCTACGTATTCATCATTTACACAGTTATTTAACGTGTCTGCTGCTTGCACAGAGTTAAGCTAAGTGTTCGGAGGATGAAACGATGAGTAGCGCAGAAGGTGTGTTCCTAGGACACGCACTGTCAGCTGTGCGTACAGCTAATGGCAGGGCCAGCTTTCAGACTGGGATGCTAGGTGTGTCCCGGGCTCTACTGCCATCGATCTATGTGATGGGCAGAGGACGGTCGTCCCCAAAGCTGGTACTATACCAAGAGACCCCCGTCCCCTGTGTGCCAGGCTCCAGGCTGGGGACTTGGCATTCATAGTCTCATTCAGTTCTTCCAAGCGCCCTGATGTTTGACATTATTAATCCCAAGTGACACGTGGGGAGACAGGCTCAGAGAGGTTAAGGGGCCTTGCCCAGGGGTCACAGTCAGCAAGGGTGGCTACCTGCTCCAAAGCCATCATGCTGTAACCCCTTGCTACTTAATCACCTGCTACTTGGAGACCAGGTGCCCAGAATTTGAGGTGTTGCAGGTTTGAGGTGATTGCAGTATTGAAACAGGAAGTAGGTTTTCACCTCCAAAAATGTTGCATTGAGGGTAACGATTGTCTCAGTTACCTAGTGTTGCCATAGCAGAAATATACCACAAGTGGGGGGCTTCAGGAACAGAAATGTGTTGTCTCACAGTTTTTGGAGATTGGAAGTCCAAATCAGGGTACTGGCTCTAGGAGAGTGTCCCTCCTTGTCTCTTTCAGCTTCTGGTAGCCCCAGGCATTCCTTGGTTCTGGATGGTTTTGCACTTGGTGTCTTCCCTTGTATGTGTGTCTCTGTGTCTATTCTGTTCTTTTCATAACTCAGGAGTGATTAGGTTTAGGACCCACCCTACTACGGTATGACATGATTAACATAACAGATGAGAACTATTTCCAAACAAGGTCACATTCACAGGTTCAGGGGTTAGGACTTCAAGAAAACTGTTGTAGGGGGCAGAGTTCAATCCATAGCAAGTATGCTTCAACAGACTGGGCTCAGCACTCGTCACTGGAGACTGGTGATGGTCAGGGCGGGTTTTATAGCTTGTGATCAGGGATGGTGACCCAGGGGTTCTCAGCCAGGGCTGTAAAAAGGAACAGAGGGCTGAGCCCCACCCTACATGCAATGAATCTGATCTGTGGGGCTGAAGCCTGGAATCCAGTGGAACCTGGGGCTGAAAACAATGGCTACAGGCCATTAAGAAGAAATACCATGTCAAAAGGGTGAGAGTGTTAGACCCCTGATATTTTCATGGGCTGTTGTTGCTCTCTGGTTGATGTGATCCATGGCACTCAAGACATTTTCTTGGCACGTCTCTTTTGTTCAGGTAGGCAGGAATCATTTCTGCTACCATGGGGTCCATATTATGTTTCTATCATGTATCTTGCTGAACCCTACAACTTTTCAGTACTCTCTGTGCCCCAATTTATGTACAATTGAGTGCTCCCTAGACAGAATGTCATGGTATATCCACTTCTAAGCATCCGGGTTCATTTTCTTAGATTCTGTTGCATGTTCCAATGGTCCTAACCCTGGGTATTACCCTTTGTTTGATTTCTGTCCTCATGAATGTGGTCATTGACAGTTCAAGGACTGGACTTACTTGCACACTTGTCAGGTGTGCATCTCACGTCCAATGTGTAGGACGAAGCTCTCCAGGGGAGGGAACGGGAGGGGGGGAGGGGTTGTTAGTTGCTGTTGAGTCAGCTCCGACTCCTGGCGACCTTCTGTATAACAGAACAAAAAGTTGCTTGGTCCTGTACCATCTTCTTGATCTTTGATATGTTGGAGCCTATTACTGGGGGCTCAGTTATTGAGCCCATTATTGAGTCCATCTCATTGAGGGCTGTTCTTGTTTTCACTGACCCTCTACTGCCCTCTAGTTACCCAGTGTTGCCATAACATAAATATACCACAAGTAGATGGCTTTCCTGATGACATGTTTTTCCTGATGGTCTTTCTTAATGACATGTACAAAGTAGCAAGATGAAGTCTTGCCATCCTTACTTCTAAGGAGAATTCCAGTTTTATTTCTTCTAAGACGGATTTGTTCTTCTGGAAGTCCACAGAATATTCAGTATCCTTCACCAACACTCCACTTCAAATGTGTCAATTCTTCTTCTGTCTTCTTTTTTTATTGTCCAGCTTTCACATACATATGAGGCAATTGAAAAGACCATGGCTTGGGTTGGGCACGCCTTAGTCATCAAAGTGACATCTTTGCTTTTTAGAACTTTAAAGAGGTCTTTTGCAGCAGATTTGCCCAATGCAATATATCGTTTGATTTCTTGACCGCTGCTTCCATGGGCATTGATTGTGGATCCAAATAGAATGAAATCCTTGACGACTTCAACTTGAAAACCTTGTGGATAACAACAAAGGGGAGGAAGTCCTCCACTGTTTTCAGACTCTGTTGCTGTGGTCTAAGCTTTGTTTGCCTCAGCAACCTCAGGCAGATCTGGAGACATCCGGAGGCTTTGATTTGTTACTCGTGTGTTCCAAAGAGCAGTGAACGCAGACTGGCAGGGCTTGGCGGGAATCGAGAGGCGTTTGGAGAGCGGGAAGAATTGCAGGATGTATTCTAAGTTCACAACATTTTCCTTCGGACTATTTCTGGGCAACACGCCATTTAGAAATGTTTGTTAAATGCTTAAAAAGCAGCAGTTGATTTTCATCTGTTTCCACAGCCAACACGTGAGGCCACGGTATTCTATTTGCGCTAACCTGTTTTTTCTTTCTCTTTTTGCTTGGCAGTGAGTGACCTCCAGGAAGAAGGCAAAAATGCCATCAACTCATCGCTGTCCCCTGCCTCGGTGGATATTCACCCTGAAGATACCCTGCTAGGTACTATTTGTTCTTCCAGCTCCTTGTCACGAGATGGTAAAGCATCCACAGCATTAGCTCGGTGTTGGGGAGGCTGACAAGCGGTGCTCTTTTGAGCAGACATCATACTGGGTGGCATTTGAGCGTACAGGCACTCAAGCTTAAGGTCATGTTTAGAAAATTCTGTAGGAAATAAGTGAGGCTTCCCTTGTAGGTTTCTGCCCCTATTTCTGGGTAGGTTAGAGTTGCTCCAAGGCCTGGATCTTGCTGGGGGGGTCGGGGGGTGGGAGGAAGGACCGCCAAGTGGCTACGACCTCCCACACCCACTACCTTGGAGTCATGTCACAGTCCAGCACTAATGAGATGACTACCAGATACATTTTCCTTAAAGTGTATTTTGGATCCGATCAATCTGGAAGGCCTTTCTGGAACATTCCATTAATTTCCAAACCCTGGTTCAAAGGGAAGTCCCAGTTGATCCCTTTCTTGTGGTTTCCACCCCAAGGCCAGGCCAGCAAGAGGCTGCGGAGAGGAAACACAGACACAGGTCCACCCTGGCCGACCCCAAATCAAGTACTGGCCATGCTCCGAGGTTCCATTGGGTCTTTGGAAGCTTATTTCATTCCTCTTGGAAGACTGTAACTCTTTATTGTTGTCGTTGATTGTTTTTAGTCCAACTGAAGTTGTTTTCCAGGCAGCCGTTCCTTGGTGAGCCCCTCCAGGGTTTGGAAGTTGACCTCCTGTGGTTAATGGACTTTACAGCAGGGTGTCTCAACCCTCAGCACTATTGACATTTGGGGCCAGGTAATTCTTTAGTGGAGTCTCTGGGTGTTGCCAACAGTTAACATGCTTGGCTGCTGACTGAGAGGTTGGAGGTTCAAGTCCACCCAGAGGTGCATTGGAAGAAAGATCTAGCCATCTATTTGCAAAAAGCATCCACTGAAAACCCTGTGGTGAACAGCTCTACTCTGACACACGTGGGGTCGCCATGGTCGGAGTCGACTCAAGGGCAACTGATTTGTGTTTTCTGGTTTAGTTCTCTAGGGTGGGGACAGCTGTCCTGTGCATCGTAGGATATTTGATGGCATCCCGGGACTCCACTCTCTTGATGCCCTTAGGTCGTCAGCAGTTCAAATCCACCAGCTGCTCCCCTGAGTTGTGACCACCAAAATGTCTCCAAAAAAAAGCTACCAAAACCAGTTGCCATCGAGTCAACTCCAGCTCATGGCGACCCCGCACGTGTCAGAGTAGAACCGTGCTCTGTGGTATTTTTAGCGGCTGATTTTTTGCCAACCTTTCAGCTAGCAGCTGAGCGTGCTAACTGCTAACCATTTGCCCCACCCAGGGACTCCAGAATGTCTGCAGACATTGCCAAATGTTGTCTGGGGTGCCTAACTGCTCCTAGCTAGAACCACTAATTTAGACCAACAGAAGCTCTGGGAAATAGGAGATTTATCTTAGACGTTATGCCAGGCTCTTACTTTGTATATAACATCTTGAACATCCCCTTCCTTGGACCCTCACCTTCTTCCACTTACTGTCTGTCTTGGTCTGGGTTTTCTTGTGGAGCAAAACCAGTGAAGCATATGTAAACGTATATAGAGACATTTACTTCAAGGAAATGGCTCACGCAATTGTGGGGGCTGGCAAGTCCCAAATCCATGGGTCAGGTGACAGGCTGAAGACCTCTCCTGGCTCACGGGGTTGCAGGGCCTGATGAACCCACAATATGCAGTCAGGTGGCAGACTGGAGGCTTCTTCTGGCTCATGGGATTGTGGGGCTTGGTGAATCCAAGATCTACAGGTCAGGGGATAACCTAGAGACTTCTTTAGGCGTATGTCCCAGGAACTGGAGGTCAGGAGACAAGAGGAGTGCAGGGTCAAGAAAGATGGAGCTTTGCCAGAACATCCATGTATATACTGGAGGCAGGCCACATCCCCAAGGAAACTCCCCTTTCAATTGATTGGGGGCTCATATCAGATCACAAAATGGAAGGTGATTACATTGTGTTTGCCAAACCACTGAGAATCAGCCTAGCCAAGGTGACATACAACATTAACCATCACATTATCTTTCTGCAATAGCTTCTCTTTGGGGGTAAGTCGGCCACCTGTGGTTGGCTCCATAAGGATCACTGGCTGCTGAGGCTTGAGTGACCTTGGTAAGGGCTGGCCAGGCCAGCACCCAAAGGTGGGTGCACCCAGGGTTCCTGGGGCAGCGACACTTATATCCTGGCACTCACGGGAGCACTTTCTGCAATCCACAGCATCTCGTTGCGTTTCTGAGCTCACTGTCAGCGGGTTTGGGAGCACTCCCAGCAGGATCCCCAAGGTAGAGTCTTTAAGCAAAGAAATAGTGAGAATTCATTAGAATTAAATGAATTTGGGGAATAGTTGTACAGTGCTATACTCTTTATAGGAGCTGTAGTGGTGCAGTGGTTAAGTGTTGGGCTGCTAACCGAAAGGTTGGCAGTTCATATCCTCCAGCCACTCCTTGGAAATCCTGTTGGGCAGTTCTACTCTGTCCTTTAGGGTCTCTATGAGTCGGAATTGACTTGATGGCAATGGGTATGTATACTCTTCATAAAGTCCCTTTTGAATATATTTAATCTCATTTAGCCTCAAAAGGAATACTCATAGTTAACATTGAGAATCCACTTCACGTTTCCACTCATTCATTTCCCCTGCCAGTGACCCTTATCCCCATTTTACAGATGAGGACATTGAGGCATAGAGAAGCTAAATCACGTGCCTGTGGCTTCTCAGCTCATAAGTGGGGAACTGGGATTCAAACCCAGGCATTTTGCCTCGAGAGCTGGGGCTTGTCTCCATTGCACCGGGTTCTCATGGTTCCGTACAGCAAACCCTCCTCATGGGAGATGTGGACTGACTCTTTCCACTTCAACATATCAGACATTTTCCATCTCGTCATAAACACACCAGTTCTTACTAATAGTGGCTGCAGGGCTGCTGAGGCTGTTTATGTACAACCTCATGGGATTTGTTGAGACAAGGAAGGATCTTCCACTTGAATTTTCAGAGAGAGCATAACCTTGCCAACATCCTGAATTTGAACTCCTAGCCTCCAGAACTGTGAGACAATACATTTTGGTTCTTATAAGCCACCCAGTTTTGGCATTTTGTTATGGCAGCCTAGTAGGAAGCTAAGACAGCTTAGTTTGGAGGGTTAGGGTCATGGTTTCATCGGACATCCCAGTTAGCCTAATGACGTATTTAGTGCTTCTGTTTTGCCTCCTGGTTCATTGCATAGTGCCTGGGGTCTTGAAAGCTTGCAAGCTGCCATCCAAGGCACAACAATTGGTCCCTATTTGCCTGGAACAACAGAGGAAGCAGGAGAGTCAGGAATAGGAGGAGGATATGGAATGTGTGGCTAATGGCCTCCATGAACAACTGCCTCCTTTGCCATGAGACCAGAACTAGATGGTGCCCAGCTACCATTACTGACTGAACATTTTGATTAAAGATTCTGTAGAAGAATCCTGATCAAAAGGGAGAAAATGCAGAACAGAATTTCAAATTCTCATGGAGTCCAGAATTTCTGGAGCCATTGAGGCTGAGTGAATCCCTCAAACTATTGCCCTGAGATAATCTTTAGACCTTAAACCAAAAATATCCCCTGAAGTCTTCTAAAAACCAAACAGTAGTTTAGCTTAACTAGTAAAGAATGTCTTCCTTGAACATTGTGCTCTTTTAAAGAACTATCTCTATATGGGATCAAATTGACAACGGCAACTCGAAAGATTAGATAGGACGCTTAGGGGGCAGTGAGTTAGATTAACGATGGAGGAGTAATTTGGAAAAGGAGGATGAGAATGGTTGCACAATGTGAAGAATGTGATCAATCGTACTGAATTGTACATGTAGAAATTGTTGAATTGGTGTATATTTTGCTGTGTATATTCTCAAAAACAACAAAAAAATAAAATAAATTATTAAAATAAAATGGCTGCAAGGAACGTCATGGTGTACGAAGCTTTGCCCACACATCAGATTCTGAGCAGGGAACGCTTTTTAGGCCTTTTGAATGCAGCCCTCTCTTATCATTCCTCCCCAAAAGTGGGAGCTGTGTGGGAGAGCTGCTGAGTGGAGTCAGGGAGGGTGAGGCCTGGCAGAATGATGAAGTCTGACTCGATCCCTCTTAAGGGAAGAGGTGAAGGCTTGAGGATGGTCCATCCATCTTCCAGAAGGCAGTTCCCTGTTGTCAGGGGCTCCCCCTTGCTGGGTGGTTTGATGCATGACCGACACAGGGCCGAGTCTTTCCTTACAGAGAAGATGACTGTGTTTCTGCTTCTCTATCCATTGCCCGTCCTTTCATGCGAGGCAAGTAGAGCTGCCCCACATCTCTGTCCACCCCACCGACGCTAACTGGGACTCCCTTCTGTTCCTTGGCAGAGGAGAACGAAGAGCGCACGATGATCGACCCCACCTCCAAGGAAGACCCCAAGTTCAAGGAACTAGTCAAGGTAGGGAGACTGGTCTCGGTTGGAATGTGCCTCTTGGGGTGCAGTTTTGGCTGTTTGGGGTTCAGGGCTCCTGGATGCAAAAGGGCTTGTGAAAGGGACATGCTATGGATTGAGTTGTGTCCCCCCAAAATTTATGTTGAAGTTCTAACTCCTGGTACCTGCGAACATGACCTTGTTTGGAAATAGGGTCTTTGACGATGTCAGTTAACATGAGGTCATATCGGAGTCGGGTGGGTCCTAATCCAGTGTGAGTGCTGTTCTTATAAAAGAGAAGAGACCCAGAGAGGCAGTCAGAGGGAAGATGGCAATGTGATGATGGAGTTATGCTACAGCTGCAAGCCAAGGAACGCCTGGGACCACCAGAAGGTGGGAGAGACAAGGAAGGGTCACCCCCTAGAGCATTTGGAGAGAGCGTGGCCCTGCTGACACCCTGCATTCAAACTCCTAGCTTCCAGAACTGTACTTCTGTTTTTATAAGTGTATTAGTCATCTAGTGCTGCTATAACAGAAGTACCACAAGTGGATGGCTTTAAAAAGAGAAATTTATTTCTTCACGGTAAAGTAGGCTAAAAGTCCAAATTCAGGGCATCAGCTCCAGGGGAAGCCTTTCCCTCTCTGTTGGCCTTCTCCTCAGTGTTCCCCTGGACTGGGAGCTTCTCTGCTCAGGGACTCCGCGTACAAAGGATGCGCTCTGCTCCCAGCACTGCTGTTGGTGGTATGAGGTCCCCTACTCTCTGCACGCTTCCCTTTCCTTTTATCTCTTGTAAGATAAAAGGTGGTGCAGGCCACACCCCAGGAAAACTCCCTTTACATTGGACCAGGGATGTGACCTTAGTAAGGGTGTTACAATCCCACCCTAATCCTCTTTAACATAAAATTACAGTCACAAAACGGAGGACAACCACACAATCCAGCGAATCATGGCCCAGACAAATTGATACACACACTTTTCTGGGGGACATAATTCAATCCATGACGGTAAGCCACCCAGTTTGCAGTATTTTGTTATGGCAGCCCTGGGAAGCTAAGACAGGACGTTAATGCTGGGTTAGAAGAAGTGGAGGTCGTGTAGCTTGCAGAGGTGGTTGGACAGAACTAGACAGAAGATCCAGCTCATAGCACTGGGCACCTGCCACGTGCCTGGCTCAACCCAAGGCCTTTAAAACCCTTGTCTTAAACTCCCTGCTGGACACAGCTCTGCAGGAGGGGAGGCATTAGGATTTGGAACAAGCAGCTGGAATGAAATATAGCAGCACTTTGCAGATGGGGTTTATACTCATTCTGAAGCACAGTGGGAGGTTTGGATTCAGAGGCAGTTCTCAAAAGCAGATATACGTGACCACCCTGGCCGTTCTGGTTGAGGAACCATCAGGTGCTGTCTGTGCTGGTAGATGGTCAGTTTCCGCAGTGACTGAATGTGTGACTACCAGCTGGCTCAGAAAGATGGCCACGTTGCTCCCCAGAGTGAAGGAAGCAAACTATCCCCTGAAGTCTTCTTTGAACCAAAAAACAATTTATCTTAATAAGGAAGGTATGTCTGCTATGAGCATTGTGCTCTTTTAAAGAATTGTCTTTGTGAGATCAAGTTGACAACAGCAACTTGAAAGGTTAGACGAGAAGCTTAGGGGGAAGCGAGTTTATGTCAATGGTAGTGGAACAGTGGGGAGATGGATGGTGGGAATGTTTGCACAACTTGAAGAATGTCATCAATGCCACTGAGCTGTACATGTAGAATTGTTGAAATGGTGTATGACTGTCTATTTTCGCCAAAAGAAAAGAAAAAAAAAGAAGAGCCTGGGCTGATGGTGCCGCAGCTTCTTTGCATTTCTAGAGACGTTTCCAAGCTCTGGCGTTGGGGGGAGGCTCTCTTTGTAGCGCTTGTTCGTGTCTGAGCATGGACTGTAGTTCTGATCGCTCTGATCTCAACCACAATAGGGCTTCAAAAGCTAATCTCCTAAAGGGGGAAGGATCTGGGTTCTGACAGCACTGTCCTCTAAGCTTAAAGCCTTACCCTATTAGCCCCAGAGTGAGCTCAGAGCAGGCAGCCCTGGAAATGCTTCCCCTCTAAAGTCCTTGACACACTCAGGTGCTACGGGGGGGGGGGGGGGGCACCTTGAAATGTTGTTTATGACGGTGTGTCTCAGAAACTGGTGTTTTCTATTAAAGGTGCTTTTCTGAAAGTTCCTCACCCCTAACCACCACTGATGGGCCCGTGGCCGGGTGCACAGCTGCATTTTTACGAGGGCTAATTCGGGATAAATAAAACCATTTGCAAGTCATATCCGTTTTAAAACTTCTATTGAAAATGTTGGCTTTATATGCCCCACCCCAAAATGTTGATTCTTAGCAATTTAAATGACCTGAAAAAACAAAACAAAACAAAACAAAAAAACCACAGTTGCCAGTGAGTAGACCGTGACTCATGGCAAACCCGTGTACATCAGAGTAGAACTGAGAACTATGCTCCATAGGGTTTTCAGTGGCTGATTTTTTGCAAGTAGATCGCCAGCCTTTCTTCAGAGGCACCTCTGGGTAGACTGGAACCTCCAACCTTGTGGATAACAGCCCAGTGCATTAACCTGCACCACCCAACCACTTCTGGCCTCCAGGACTGCAAGAGAATAAATTTGTGTTGTTTTAAGCCACCAAGTTTGTGGTCATTTGTTATCACAGTCACGGGAAACTAATACCCCAGGCTGAGATATCTCCCACCCCGAAACTGCTGCCTCCCTCACCTGAGCTGATGAATCACCTGTCCTCTTGGGCCGGGCAAGGTGGGCCTAGTTACCTGAAGCAGCTTTCTTGCTGCTGGAGGGACCAGTGACCAGATATTTACAAGTCTGCTTTTACAGCCGTCCACCAACCTGGAGCATGTGTGCCCAGAGACGGAAAATTTCCAGAAGCTTCCACCTGCTCTCCGACTGCAGGTTGTATCTCAAGGCAGGCTGGCAACTTCGTTTTCACTCTTGATCCAGCGTTTTACAAATTAGATATAAACACAGAAAACGGGAGCAGCATCCCCGTGGCTGGCTGTGCCTTGTTACTAGCCATGGTGGTGGCCTCGAGGGGATGCACACGAAATATTAGTTTTCAGGAATGACTGCCTGTTTAAAACAGAGAAGTGTAGGAGTGGTGGCCTGTGAGTTGCCTGTGCTCAGCTTTGGCTGTGCTTTATTCCTGTTTATCAGGCATCTGGGAGCTGAGTGCGAGGCCAGGGTGTACTCTAAGTGAGGTATTGTGGATTCTCAGCACCCGCTTTTCCTGGCTTGGTCCCAAGGCCCGAGCAGTGAACATGTGCAGTTATGAGGTGAGTGTGGAGGGCCACTTGCCAGCTGCTGCCAGAGCTGGAGGCCAGCACTGCGGCATGTCCTGGGTGCACTGCTGAGTGGGGTGCCCCTCACACATGCTCTGGTCCCAGCAACCCTCCCAGCATCATTCCTGCCTCCCTCCTCACCCACTGTGCTGCAGCCACCTGGCCTCCTTGCTGTCCCCTGAACAGGCTATGCAGGTGCCTGCCCTGTGTGAAGCCAGAGGAAACAGTTTCCACAAAACCATCCCACTTCTGACACCAGTCGCAGGTCCAGGGTCCCCATGACCACTCTTAGGTTTGATAATTCACCAGAAAGACTAAGAATTCACAGAAAACTATTATACTCACAATTACTGTTTATTACAGTGAAAGGACACAGATTAAAATCAGCCAAGGGAAAAGGTGCCTAGGGCAGAGTTAGGAGGGTTCCAGAGGTGGAGCTTCGAGCCGTCCTCTCTCTCTGGAGTCATGGAGAGTGTTACTTTCCTGACATTGATGTGTGACCACATGTATGGTGTATTGCCAATCAGGGAAGCTCAGCTGAACCTCAGTATCCAGAGCCTTTATTAGGGCTCTATCACGTCATGAATCAGAGCTGACTCAGTGGCAACTAACAACACCAACAACAATCGTGTAGATATGGTTGATTGTTCATGTGGCTGATTTTGGTCTGCAGCCTAAAGCGCCCACCTTAAATCACATATAAGACACGCAAGTAAACAAAGACACCTGTATCAGATAGCACATTCCAAGGGTTTAATCACCTCCCAGGACCTGGGGTCAGAGGCCAGACCTCTCTTTAAAACCAGTTGCTGTCAAGTCGACTCTGACTCATGGCAACCCCCTGTGTGTCAGAGTAGAACTGTGCTCCACAGGGGACTCATCTTTGAGTGAGGTTAAATCTTGGCTACACACCTGGCCTTTGCACCTACAGTCCACTCTGCTGGGAACACGCTTCTCCCACTTCTTTTCTGTTGATGTTTCCCCTTCTGTGACGTGTCCTTGGGCCCTTCCCTCCAACTCATCACTCTGCCTCTTACCGTAGTTAATTTTTCTTTCCGGGACTTGCTGCTGCTCATTTGTCTTTGGTGTTTCCCCCCACTAGAGTGTAACCCCCATGTGGTCAGGGACTGATATCCTTTAATGCACCTGTGTCCCAGTGCCTGGCAACACCAACACATCCTGGTGCTGATTTGACCGGGATACGTGAGTGGTGGAGTCAGGGGCTTGGGTCAACAGCACGGACATCAGGATTCGTATCAGAACTACCCGAGAGTGCTGGAGCTTAAAGAAAGTGCATATGTGTATGTTGTTGGTGTTGTTGTTTGGTGCCGTCGAGTCAGTTCCGACTCATAGGGACCCCGTGTACAACAGAATAAAACACTGCCCGGTCCTGTGCCATCCTCACAATCATTGTTCTGTTTGAGCCCATTGTTGCAGCCACTGTGTCAATCCATCTCATTGAGGGTCTTCCTCTTTTTCGATGACCCTGTACTTTACCAAGCATGATGTCCTTCTCCAGGGACTGGTCCCTCCTGATTACCTGTCCAAAGTATGTGAGATGAAGCCTCATCATCCTCACGTCTAAGGAGCATTCTGGTTGTACTTCTTCCAAGACAGATTTGTTCGTTCTTCTGGCAGTCCATGGTATACTGAATATTCTTCGTCAACACCATAACTCGAAGGCATC